GCATCTCCTCTATGTTCTTGGGAGGAACTTTTTATTTTTACTTTTATCTCTTTATTATCTTTTCTCTTAATTATTTGTTTGTTTTTATTTCAAAAACATTGATGTTTTGCCTGCATGAATGTCTGTACGAAGGTGTCAGATCCCCTGAAACAGGAGTTACAGACAGTTATGAGTTGCTATGTGGGTGCTGGGAATTGAACTAGGTCCTCTGGAAGAATGGTCTATGCTCTTAACTGCTGAGTCATCTTTCCAGCCCTCTCATTCCACCAGAATCAAAGAGAATTAGATTTCAGCAGAAAAAGGGAACTACTGAAGGTTCCAGAGAAGTTGACAGTGAAAAGGGTATTATTTTACTTCTTTTTCTGGGAAAAAGAGAGAAGAAACTTGCTTTACTGTAAGACTTAATGTCTACACTTTCAGTGGGCAAATGAGATTCCAGAAACGAGGTCATTTCGGTGTCTTTCCTCAGTGAGAGGAAAGCTTCTGTCCTCAGAAGCTCCTTGTTTCTACAGAGAAACTATTCCCTCTTCCCCCTGTTAGCATCGCTGTTAAGTTTGGAGTAGACAATCTCTGTGCCTTCAGAAGTATTGAGTAATAATTGCACCTCGTTTAAAACAGCTTCCTCCACTTGTTAACACTTGTTATCTGTCTGCCACATGCCATTCTGTCTTGAATGGCTTTTTATGTGAAAATAATACTACGTTTCTTCCTACTTATATAGTTTTAAATGACTACTAGTTAATATCAGACAGAACTTTCTTCTCCACTTTACAAGCACGGTACGTATAAATAATACCAAGAAGTGTGGTTTGAAGTAGTGTTTCCATGTTTCTACAGCTCAGAAACATCAGTTGCTCTTCCTACTCCTCAGGTTTTTTTCTCATGTGGAAAGGTTTAGTACTAGTCGAAAATCATTTTCAAATAATCACAAATATACACATAAAGACAAAGTACACAGTAAAATTGTTCTTGAGCTCCCGATGAACAACTAACTCATAGCCTACACAACACTCTCACAAACCTATACTGTAACAGCTTCCCAGGAAGCCAGACCAGTGCTCTGGGCCACAAGATGTGGCAGTAAGGTACCTGTGTCCTTTCTGTTTCCACTTAAAAATTCTATACCTAAGAACTACCACACAACCTGAGAGCTTCAACTTTAAAAAAAAAAAAAAAAAAAAAAAAAAAAAAACTTAATTTTTTTATTTTTTTATTTATTTTTAGCTGACACACAAAAATCATACTAACTATAGACATCTATGGAATATGTTTCTCTTTTTGGTTAATGAATAAAGCACTGTTGGCCAATAGGAAAGGAAGATAGGAGGGACTAGAAGACAAGGAGGAAATAGGAAGTAGTAAGCAGGAGCCAAGATGGAGAGTCTGGAGAAAGCAGAATGCAGGCCGGCTCCCCGGTAAGAGAAATACGTGGATCAGCAGAAATGGGTTAATACTTAAGACAGAGATAGCCGATAAGAAACTAGTACCTGGCCAACAGAATTGTATCTAATACAGAGTCTCTGTGTATTATTTGGGGCTGGTGCAGCGGCAGGACAAGACTAAGCAGCAGGAGGAAAAACCGTACACCTTACAGACATCTATGGAGATGATTCAATACTCTTCGATGGTGTGTAATTGATAAATCCAAGGGAATATATCTATATCCTCAAACAATCATTTCTTTTTTTAACAACTTTATTTTTATTTCATGGGCATTAATGTTTTGCCTGCATGTATATCTGTGTGAGGGTGTTAGCTCCCCTGAAACTGGAGTTATAGACAGTTATGAGCTGCCATGTTGGTGCGGGGAATTGAACCTGGGTCCTCTGGAAAAGCAGCCAGTGCTCTTAACCTCTAAGTCAGCTCCCAAGCAATCATTTCTTATGGTAAAAATAGTCAAAATTCTTTCCTCTAATTGTTTGGAAATTAGAGGATATATATTGTGTTAATCATGAATTTTGGAAATTAGAAGAAATATATTGTATTTATCATGAATTTACTGTCTAGACAGTGGTATACTAGAAAGAGGTCTAGTTAAGAGACAGCCAGACCTAACTTAAACCCATTGCTGAGTTTATGGACAGCTAGCTCCATGGGAAGGTTCACTTCTTTCAGCCTGTTTCCTTGTAGGTATAATTAAGAAATAACGATGCTTATGTCATAAAGGTTTTATGTGGACTGAGTAAAGATAACTCATGTAAAATGTTTCATACCCACTCAATAAAAACGTGGGAGGGTGAAGATGCATAGTCAACTGCCTATTGAGAAACAAGCGAGACTCTAAGAAGATAAGTCATCTTGCAAGTTCATGTCATTAGTGTCTGTAATGTTTTTATTAAAAGTCACTAGTAAATTAAGACATAGAATCAAATGAGAATTGTAGAATTTGCCATAGCTCAGGCTGCCTGGCAACCAATTCAAACAATTGATGAGCTGTCACCACTTTCCAATTCTCACCTTTAATACAAAAATCATACTCTTAAATATTTTGTTCTTAGGGGCTATAGCTCGGTGGTAGAGTGGTGCCTGTTAGATACAAGGCCTAAGGTTCAATCCCAAATTTAAAAAAACTAAGACAAAACCTTTTGTTCTCAGAATTCCAATGAGTCACCAGATTATTGGTTCTACATTTTGTCTCAGGGTATTTTAAGTTAAAGTGTAGACAGAAGTTTCTGACCCACCCCACCCCATCACTGTTTATTCCCAAATAAACACACAGAGGCTTATATTAATTATAAACTGTTCGGCTGGTGGTTCAGGCTTCTTATTGGCTCTCTCTTAATTATCAACACTTTTCTATTAATCTATGTGTCTCCACATGGTGTTGGCTTACTGGTGGTGTTCGGGTCTATTGCTTCCTTGGCAGCTACATGGCATTTTTCTGGCAACTCATTCCCTGCGTGCTTCTTCTCCACCTTCTCCTGGTCTGGTAGCCCTACCTATGCTTCCTGCCTGGCTACAGCCTGCCTGTCCATAGGCCAAAACAGCTGTATTCATCAACCAATAGAAGAAACATATATTCACAGCATACAGAAGGACATCCCCCCTCATTAAAGTAAACAAAATATGCAGGTCCTTACATGAATATATGTAAGTATATTAGGACAGCTGGAAAGATAAATGCCCCTGCAGCCACACCCCTGATTTCTACATATTACCTTGAGAGAAACTGGCCTCTTACTCTGTTTTTGTTTGTTTGTTTGTTTTTAATGCAATATAATCTTTTTCTTATGTTACTTCCTTTTTCAAATACTAAGGGGCTTGTTCAGGATTCTCTGATCTTGGTCGTAACATTCTTCTAAGATGAATGCTTCTGAAAGACATTAACATTTTTAAAGAATAAGTAATAGCTGAAGGTCAAACAGTATTGTCCGAATAAAGCAATGACACTTGATTAAACTATAATTCAGGATCCGCAAGACGCTTTTCTAATAAACCATCTTGACTGAAGTAAAATTAACACAGCGCTACTGCCTCCATTCTTGTCTAATAAAATGCAAATTATTTGCCCTTACTTTTTGAAACTGTAACACATATGTGTACTTTTAAAAATTGAGTTCAAAAGGCTATTCCCCCCCCCCATGTAATGTCACCTTATCTGACACTAAGCCAGACGGAGAAACAGAAAAAAACAAACATGTATGTATATATCACACATTATATGCACATTAGACAGAGAAGTTTTACTTGAGTTAATACTTATAGCATTATTAAGTATTCTATTTAATGTTATAATACTAGGTAATAATATACCATACCAAATCAGAAGTAAAATAAGGTACGGGAAATTTTATTGCAGTTATGTAGCCTTGACTAACCTGGAACTCACTATGTAGACTAGACTGGACTCAAACTCAAAGTAATTTGCCTGCCTCTGCCTCCATAGTACTGGGACCAAAAGTATCTACCACCATGCCAAGATATTAAATTTTTTATTTTATTTTCATTAAGTGTTTTTCATTTATTTTATATATTAATCATAGTTTCCCCTCCCTCCTCTCCTCCCATTCCCTCTCCCCACCTCCCTTCTACACCCCCCCCCATCTACTCCTCCTCCATCTCCATGCAGAAAGGGGAAGGCCTCTCATGGGAGTCAACAAAGCATTGCACATCAAGTTGAGGCAGTACCAAGCTCTCCAGCCCCCTTTATCAAGGTTGGGCAAGGCAACCCAGCATGGGGAATGGGTTTGCAAAAGCCATCTCAAGTGACAGGGACAGGTCCTGATCCCACTGCTAGGAGCCCCACAAACAGACCAAGCTACATAATTGTTATACACATGCAGAGGGCCTAGGTCAGTCCCGTGCAGGCTCCAGAGTCTGTGGGTTCCCACAAGCTCAGGTCAGCTGTCTCTGTGAGTTCTCGTGTAGTGGCCTTCACCAGCCCTGGCTCATACAATCCTTCCTCTCTCTCTCTTCAGCAGGACTCCTGGAGCTCCATCCAGTGCTTGGCTGTGGATTTCTGCTTCTGCATTCTGCATTACTGGATGAAGGCCCTCTAATGACAATTAGGGAAGTCACCAATCTGATTACACAAGAAGGCTAATTCAGGCACCCACTCAACTATTGCTAGGAGTCTTAGCTGAGGTCATTCTTGTGGATTCCTGGGAGATTCCCTGGCACCAGGTTTCTCCATAACTGTGAGGTAACCCAGACCCAGAAAGCCAAACTTGGTATGTACTCATTCAAGTGGATAGTGCTAATAACCAGGCTAGGATTCACAGCCCCAGAGAAACTAGGTAACAAGGAGGGCCCAAAGAGAGACACATGGATGGATTCCCCTGGTAAGGAGAAGTAGAAGAAATTTCTTGGGTAAAATAGGGGTGAGGGGTGGGGGATGGGGGGTGGGGGGTAGAGGTATAGGAATGTGAGAGATCAGCTTGGGCAGATTGGGAATGAAATGGACAGAGAGAATAATAAAACAGATATTGAAATTTATGATTTTTTTTTGGTGTTGAAAGAAATAGCTATCAAAACAGCAATCAAGCCAGACCACTAAGGACTGGCTTCAGTAGCACATATGCTGAAACTGGAATGATACAGAGAAGATTAGCATGGTCCCTGTGCAATGATGGCATGCAAATTTGTGAACCATTCCATATTTAACAAGTAGAAAAGACAGAGCTGAATAGTTTCACCGGAATTACTGTAAATGTATGAAATCCAAAGTAGAACTAAGGCAAATGCCATAAGCTTCTATCTAATGAGAACCAAATAAGCAGAATTCTTTTCATTTTTTGCGATCCTAATGTAATTACACTTTCTCCATCCCCTTTCCTTCCTCCAAGCCCTTCCATATATCCGTCTCTGCTCTCCTCCAAATTCACTGCATCTTTTTTAACTAATTATAATTTCATGCATAATGTATGACATATATATCCCTAACTATAACCTGCTCAGTCTATATAACATTACTTGTATGTGTGTTTTCAGGGCTGACCATTTGGCACTGGACAACAGGCTGGTGAGCCCTTTTCTGGAGAAGATCCATCTCTGTCACGCTCAGCTTTCCTCAGTTGCCTTCAGCAATTTGTGTAGGGTTGAGACTTCATGGATTTCCCCCAGTGCAGTTTGACAATAACAAGAATTCTTTATAGTCATAAACAATGATAATGTATGTTCCTAAAGAGGAGCCCTCGGATGATAGGCCTCTGGCAACTCAGGTCTACAATCCTTGCACTTGAGAGTCTGAGGCAAAAGGAGGATTTCAGAAAATTAGAGGCCAGCCTTGGGTGTCAGAGGACATAGGTGAGACCATGTCTCCAAAGGAAGGAAGGAATAATAACAATGATTGTTGTTATCATTATTGTTCTTTCACAAAAGGGAAGGGAATGAGGAAGAAGGGAGAGAGAGGGAGAACTTCTGAATAATAGAGCAGGATTTATTCTTAAAATTAAAGTCATCTTATTATGTTCTATTATTTTGACATGTATGAAACTAAAAGTTCCATATATGTAGACATTATTGCCACTCCAAATATTAAATTAATAAAGCATTGTCCTCAAATTCTTAAATAGTTTTCATTGTGTTGAGCATGGAAACGAGAGTATGCGTGAAGGAAGCGGATCTTTGTCTATCAGGATTTACAGGGATGTATGTTGTTTTGTTTGTCCACATTCTCAAGTGTACCAATACTAACACTAACTTAAAGAATGACCAATTTTGTCAGTTTTTTTCAGGTTTTCCTAATAAAAGCTTTGTATATAACCAAACATTTAGACATCTTTTCAAAATATTCTGATTCCATAAACTTAATACCTTAAGTAATTTCAGATTATTTAAGTTCAGTTACTTAGATGTTTTACACAAGGAAAATGCATGAAAATAAATGTAGGCTGTTTTACTGAGCTATCAAATATACACTGCATTCCTGGATTGATGTGTGGAGAGCAAATGATACACTTTATTGCTCTCAATGCAACTTTACTAATTTCTTCAATGCTAGTTCCCTCTGTCTTTACATTCATTTCAATAAATGATACACATACACTGTACATGCCTTGAATGCCCATATTAAAGCCTTTTTACCCTGATTCTTATTTAGAAAATAGAATTATTACCCAAGACAGTAGAGGATCCCACTGATAATTTTAAAAGCACATATATATGCGTTGCTTAGATTTTTTTAAAGTATTTCAGATCTATGGGTGTAGCTCAATGGCAGAAAATTTGCCTAGTGTATGCAAGGCCCTGGTGTGATTCCTAGAAATGCACAACTTAAAAACAAAAATATTTCCTGCATATGAAATTCTCCATCATTAACTATTTTTATATTTGTATGCACCAGCATAAAAATGTTTTTGTTTTGACAGACAGAAACCAAAGAAATCAAGGAAATGCACAATTAAGCCAGAAGGGTACTATGACATCCAGTGTTCAGCCAACAGAGGCTGTGACAAGAGAGCCATTAACACACATTCGTTTGTGTTATGATGACATATGGAAGGCTTCCAAAATTAACACAGTATTTTGCTGCTTACTGGCTTGTATCACAGGCTTAATACATTTTGGATTTTGTTTTGTTTTGTTTTGTTCTTTGAAAGATGGGGTAGAGGGTGTTGTAATGGCTTATATATTTTGATAAGTACTTTTGAGTCTTTATGAAGTATTAGATATATTAAATGAATGATTTTGGATAAGAAAAGCAGGAGAAATTAACAACACCATCTCCTTTGCTGTTGACTACTCTGTACTTACCCATGTTTCTCTGAAAAGCTTCTCTTTTCTCGTTCTCTTGGGCAATGTGCACTGGGGAGGAATAGACAAGGGGAGAGAGAGAGAGAGAAAGAGAGAGAGAGAGATCATAAAAGAAGGAGCCATTATAGGTTTGAAGAGAAAACTGACTCTAGAGGAATGTCCAGAGACCTATAAGACTGACCCCAACTAACAATCTGAACAACAGTGGAAAAGCTACAATAATGCCTTTCCCTGATAATGAGATTGATGACTACCTTATCCACCATCATAGAGCCCTCATCTTGTAGCTGATGGAAACAGAAAACAGACACCCACAAATAAACACTGAGCCAAACTGAAATCCAGATAAATTTTTTTCTTATTTTACATATTGATCCCAGTTCCCTCTCCCTTCCTCCCTCACATGCTCCCCTCTCTTCCGTCCCATTCTACCCCACTCCACAGGGAGGGTGATGCCTTCCAGGAAGGATCATCAAAATCTGTCAAGTCATTTGGAAGGAAGGCATCACCCTACATGTGGGGAGGGGGGATGGGAGGGTGGTCAGGGGCTGTTGGAGGGTGAAAGAGAGGGAGGTAGAGAAGTCGGGATGGAGGGAGGGAAGAACAGATGGAAAGGGAACTGGATCGATTGTAAAAATAAGAAAAATAAATAAATTAAAAAAAAAAAGAGTGCTCAGCCAAGCCAAGCAGTGATGTTGAATGCCTTTAATCCCAGCACTTGAAGCAAGCAAAGACAGCTAATCTCTGTGAGTTCGAGGCCAGCATGATCTACCAGAGTCCCAGGACAGGCACTGCTGTTAAACAGAGAAACCCTGTCTCAAAAATAAAAATTGTGCTCAGCCAAAATTTTGGTGATGCATAGAAATGTTTGAATAATATACAGCACTGGTCTTGCTCACCTACACAGCCACAGCAACAAATTGCTTTAATCTTGGTGTTCTAAGTTTAGTAGTCTTGATACATGAAGGCCAAGCATCAGGTATCAGTAGTTGACAAATGGCACTTTGTCTTCATTCAAGATTAAATTACTTTCATTAAGTTCAAAAGGGAGGATGAAATATCATAAAAGGTAAAATTACTCTCTTTATCAAAATAGCAAAAAAGGACATAGCTTTGTTTTCACAAAAATACTCTTGGGTGATATTTTACATGCAAAATGACAGCACTTCTCAAGTATTTTATCCTAACATTGGAAACTCAGGAGGCTTCCAGTTCTAGGATAGACCTGAGCCCAGTGTTTGGTTCTGCACACCATGCATAGCAGGACATATGTGCTCTCTGTAAGTCAACTTCATCCTTCACAGAAAGGGAATAAAACAATTTTTTCTATTTTGACGGCACACTAGAATCTCAGACACAGTCACCCAGGCTGTATTCCAGGCCAATTACATTAGAATCATTGTAGGTAGGTCACAGACCTTAGGCTTTCAAAATATTTTCCCATTAGTAGCAGGTGGGTCTACATGGTAGAACACAGGCTAAGTATGTGTGGGACCTTGGCTTTGGTCCCCAGTGCCAGAAGAAAGAATGGCCCCAAGGCTACCAAATGAGAGTGTGATAGGAACCTGGGGAAGCAAAAGAAAGCAAGAAAGTGTGAGACCATGAAAGGAATGCTTAGAGATCAGAGGTTTAAATAAAGAACAGAGTAAGATCTAAAGAAATGGCTTTAAAAACCTAAAGAGTGCTGGGGAAAAGGCTGTGTGTAAACCACTTGCTACCCATGCTTTCTAATATTCCAAACTCCATAGACTTCAATTGGATGATGTCTTATTTAGGGTTTGTTTCTATTGCTATGCTGAAACACTATGACCAAAGGAACTGAACTTGGGGAGGAAAGGGGTTTTTTGCCTTATACTTCCGTGCTGTAGTCCATCATTGAAGGAAGCCAGGACAAGAACTCAAACAGGGCAGGAACCTGGAGGCAGGAGCTGTTGCAGAGGCTATGCAATAATGGCACAACTATTATAGGGATAATTAACTGCTCTCTGATTGAATTTGAGACCTACTCCATAGGACCATTCCATATCTGGAACCATAAACCTACTAAAATTCTATCGTAGGGAATGTCATAAGGTTGAAGGAGAAACCTAATTCTGCTAAACTAAGTTGACATGGCATCAAATCACCTTCTAAATATATATGTTTATACCTATAGATGATTGTCACTCTCAACCTTAATTCTAGATGCTTCTTCCCATAAAGGCAGACACTTATGGCTTCTCAAGGTGCTGAGGACAAATGATTACTTGTTGCCCAGCACTAAATAAGGCATTTATATCAACCTTTTCTGAGTTCGAGGAACATTGGAAAAGGGGGTAGTATGAAAGCTGGAAGATAGAGAGGATTAAAAAAAAATGTTTTCTCACAGCTGTGTGTGGCTGCACACACCTTTAATCCCATTACTCAGGAGGCAGAGGCAGGCAGACCTCTGTGAGTTCAAGACCAGCCTGGTCTGCAGAGTGTTAGAGAAGCAGCTACTACAGGTTGATATGCAGGCAGCAGGAAATGAACTATGACACTGGGAATAGCTTTTGTACAGGAGACTTGTGATATATTGTTTATGATCTAACAAAAAAAGCTTGCCTGAAGATCAGAGTGCAAAGCTAGCCACACTAGTTAGCAATAGAGGCCAGGCAGTGATGGCACACATCTTTAAACCCAGCAGCCACACTAGTTAGCCATAGATGCTGGGTGGTGGTGTTGCATGCCTTTACTCTCAGCACTAAAGTAGAATATAAAGCAGGTGGAGACAGGAGTGCAGTGTATTCAGTCTGTAATCACACTGAGCACAGGATCGCCCCAGCCTTGGTAGAGGTAAGACCTCTCTAGTGGTTGGCTGCTTTGCTTTTCTGATCTTCAGCTTGAATCCCAATTATCTGTCTCTGTGTTTTTATTATTCATGCTACAGG